CCGTTGTAGAGTGCGAAGAGCGCGTTGTGTCCCGGTGCCGTCTCGGCTCCCTCGTCCTGACGTCATCCGGCCACGTTCGACGCCCGATTCCTCTTCCGCGTTCGCGGAACGTGTGCGAATTCCTCCGGAACGCGAGCGGGCGAGACGTCGGTGCGAGAGAGCGAGCTGAACGCGCAAAGGGTGTACGGACTGAAAGAGCGCAAGAGAGGGAGGGAGAAAGAGAAAGAGAGTGACGGAGTAAACGAGTGGGGCGAGCCGCACGACGACGTTCATCGATTCGTCTCGCACTACCACGGGTAGTGTGAACCGCGGCTGAAAAAGCGAGCCCGCGCCGACGAGCACCACGTCCCGTCCGTGTGCCGTCCGTGCTGCATCTCGTGCGGTGCGTGCGTGCGTGCGTGCGTGCATACGTGCATGCGTGCGTGTGTGCTTCTCCCGACGTGTGGAAGTTTCGCATCGGGGTGGGAAGTAGCCGCGGTACCGAGTGGTACCGGCGATTACAGCGGGTATCTGGCAGAGAAACGACTACGAGGCCTGCAACTGGAAGTGGAACTAGAAATAGAAGCAGAGGGCAGCCGTGATCGTGGAGTCAGCTTCTCCAGTTGGCTCGCAGCGGTGCTGACGAACTCCCCCGGTGCTTCTCCGGCGCCTTTACGCCGGTGGAAAAGTGCGTGCTCGGTTGCGCGATACGCGCGTCGACGGGCGCAACGTGGCGGTGACGAACGACGGCGCTTCTGACGGGGCTGCACGTCCTCTTCGACCCGGTGCTAGCCCTACGAGGAGGAGAAATTATGCCGCCGCGGGCTCGATGACGCTCTGACAACGGCGACGACGGTGGTGGTGGTGACGGTGGGACGGAGCGAGTGAGTTCCATCGATGCGTGTGAGCCTCTGCTTCCGCCTCGACGCCCTCGTAGGCGAGGACGTCGCCTCTTTTTCTTTTTTTTTTTTGTTCACTCTCTCTCTACCACCGATCGAAGCCGTTGAGAGAGAGAGATTCTCGGTTATTAGCGAGACAATGGCGTCCACCGCAGGAAAAAGCGGAAGAGCGATACTACGTGACGTCGCCCGCGTTTTCTCCCGTTGTCAATAGTGTCCGTTTTCTCGTTACCGATAACGCGCCAAAGTCTTTGAAGATTCGCCGACCTAGCTCTCTCGCGATTCGGCAGGAGCCGCACGCAGAGTACACGACGATCATCAATCATTCTACATAATGCTTTACGTGTGCAGCCTATGATGCGACTTCGACACTTGCTTTCTCTCCCGCTGCCCTGATAGCGATCCTTTCTCCTCTTAGTCGTAAAAACGGCGAGAAATTCGCGAAACGCGGACAACGCGACACTCGCTGGTCTTCGTAACTTGGCAGGGACCGATATACGCAGTGAATATCTATCATTCGCCAATAATATTCGTGCAGCATCGGGTGCGATGCAGTTCTAACGCCGAAACTGCATCTTAGCCGCGTGACGCGCACATTCTACGCTCTCTGGTTCTCGAATAAAAATGTGTATTCTGCTCCGGTGAAAGCACAAGTTTGTAACCGTGAATGATATTCTGGTTCTTTCGCAAGGTTACACAAAGGTGGCGTGCTCGATATCGACTTTCGGTGTCATCAATTGACCCTGTTCTCTTTATCTACGTACTCATTCTTTGAGAGAAGCATGTACAAACTGTTCGTCGCTCGGGAAAATATTATCTTTGTTCTTTGATTAGAGCTTTGATTGGACGAAGCTCCCTTCTCTCCGTGTGACGTTTTTATTTTATAATTACCGAGTTGTCAACATGGAATGTTAATTTCCATTAGATGATCTGTGACTCGCAGTCATCCAGCGTTGTTTCTTCCATCCACAAGAACTTATGATATCGTGAAAATGCTTCCCACGAATCTCCTTTGCTTCTCCGGGCTGTTTACTGAAATTTTTCTTCTTTTTTCTCACATGAACAACGTGTGTGCGAACGATAGGATTCATCTCACAGGTAGCGCAGCCGATGTAAAAATCTTCATTGCGCGTGTCCTGGATCAACGTGGCTAGATCCAGTTAATCCACATTAGGCGTCGCACAGTTGGAAAAGCTGACTGCTTTTCACTCGCACTTGCGCGTGCGCCAGACTTAGCTCTTGCCGGCTCCGGAAAATGAGAACACCCGCGTTGGATCGACAACCCTCGGTTTCCCCGGGTCGCGAGATCCCGCGGAGGTGAAGGACGCGCATCGAATGCCCGTGCCCGTGACTATTTGAACGCGATTGGTTATGCCAGTTTGCATAGCGTGATGGACAGAGAGAGAGAAACAACTCGTGTGACCAAGGTCACACAGTATTCGAAGATATTTACGATATCCTCACTCCTGATTGGAAAAGATGAGAATTTCCGACATCAATAAGACCTAATCCATAAAAACATATAAAACTTTCAAGATAAAAAGGGATT